GCGCAGGCGCGCGGGGCCGTTAAACGCCCTCTTCCCGCCTTATTCCCCTCATGAGGGTCTGGAGCGCGTTGCGGCGGGGCGCCCCCCCCCGCCCCCCCCCCCCCGGCGCTCTCCCCGGTGCAGCGGAGCAGTAGACGGGCGTGGGAGACGTCGCTGTCGCCGCTGGAGAGGGTGAGGCGGCTGCTGCCGCCGGAGGAAGCGGCAGAGGTGGGGCGGTGCGCGGCCGCCCTTCCTCAGGCTCCGAGTCCTGCGGAGGAGGAGGCCGCCCCTGAGGTGGCGCCTCCTGAGGCGATAGGAGAGTGTCCCGGTGCTTTCCGCGCTGGGGAGCTGGCGCTGGCGGAGATGCGGAGGAAGCACAATACGACGCTGAAGCTGTTGTGTCGGCTGGAGGCGGGGGCGGTGTTGAACAGCCCCGGCGGGATCCTGCCTCACCGCGACATCATCGGGCGGCTGCCCGGGCAGGTGCTGCCCGCCTCGGCCGGAGGGAGGTTGCTGCTGAGGCGGCCCTCGCTGGAGGAGTACGTGCTGCTGATGCCGCGGGGACCCACCATCGCCTACCCCAAGGTACCGGGTGTCCGCTGGGGTGGCTGGCGGCCGGGAAGTCGCCAGCCGGCCAAATGCTGCCCCTTAGTTTCCGAGCGTGTTAACGTGCGGTGTTTTTCTCACCCGCAGGATATAAGCGCTATGTTAATGATGATGGATATCCACCCGGGAGACACTGTTTTGGAAACTGGCAGCGGGTCTGGTGCTATGAGCTTGTTTCTGTCAAGAGCAGGTGAGCACCTGGTTTTAGAAAACAGAAGCAGTGCAGTTCTTCCCAGGACTGGGAGGCCTGCCATATCAGGAAAGGCTGAGAGATCTGGCTTTGTTTAGCCTTGAGAAAAGAAGGCTAAAGGAAGACCTTATCACCATGTTCCAGCGTTTAAAAGGTGGCTACAAAGAAGACAGAGCTTCCCTTTTGACAAGGGGTGACTTGGAAAAGACAAGTAATGGGTACAAGTTACTCCTGGGGAGATGAGGGTGAGACTGCTGAGAAACCCATCCCTCGTTTTGTTCAGTTCTCTGAATGGATTCACAGCGGGAACTCATAGGTGAGGGAAGGACCTTAGTGACTCCAACCTACAAAATGGCTTCAGAAGTCACAGAACGTCACTCGCTGAGCTGCTGATTGCTGAAAGCTGCCTTTGCCCGTTAAAAAGCAGCAAGGAGAAGCTAATGGTGTAATAGGTTTGAGAAATCAGGAGTAATAAAAGGATAGAGTAATGCAGCAGTGCATGCGCTGCTCTCTGTGCCTGGATGTCTTTTGTGAAGAACATCATGTATTGGAGTCGCATGGTAAATTTCAGGATAGTAAATTTATACTTAAAACAAGTGATAAAGTATTTTATTACAGTTACAAACAATAACAGGAGAACACCACAAGCCCGTGCAAATCAAAGAGTACACTTGCAAACTCGTCTAAGGGGCTGAGATCAGTGAGCAGGTGTGGGGCCTTTCTTTGCCTTTCCCCAACCCTAAGAAGGGACAGGGGGTTAAAGAAGTATGCGTGGAAAACAGCAAACCTTTGTAAAAATGAGGATTGTAAAAAAAATTTAAAACCAGCAGTCTCAAATCTTATTGGCACCAGAAGCTGTCACCATCTGTGAGCACTAAGCAACGTTGCAGCTTGCTCGGCTGGTACCACCTGTGGCTGTAGCAGAAGAATCATAGGTTGGTAGGGTCGTGGATGCTCAAGTTGTCTTTTGCAGCAGGAGTTACTTCAGGCAGACACCTTAGGAACAGTTTGTACTGCTCTAATTGTGCTTTATTTCATCTGTGGATCGATGGATTTCAGTGAGTAGAAGAACGAACCCAGCACTTTATCTGCATATATTTGTTTTAAGTGTAAAGAGAAAAAGAAATTGTAATGATTGTTTCATATGTGATTTTTTCCAAAAGTTGAAATTTAAAGGTGTACATTTGTTATTTGCTATGCTACTTTTTTCTAAATTCCTAGTAAGTCTAGCCCCTTTTGTTTGTTTTCAGTTGGGCCCAAAGGACGTGTTATAAGTTATGAAATCAGAGATGATCATCATAGTTTAGCTAAGAAGAATTACAGGCGCTGGCGTGCTGCATGGGAAATAGGACATACAGAAGAGTGGCCAGATAACGTGGATTTTATTCTTAAAGACATTTCAACAGCCGCTGCAGATATGAAATCTATAGCACTTGACGCAGTAAGTCCAAGAAATCCCTGCCATTTGACATTTATCTTTTCTGCATAAATTAAAACCTCTAGTGCTCACACTCACAACAGGATTCCCATAGCTAGTTTAACAGGAGAAAACACAATTGGATCTTCATTAATGAAAGAAACATTGTGATTTATTTTTTTTTTGTCAGATTACAAATATTGTGAAGGTTTCAGTTGCAGGTTCCCAAATGAAAGAGCGATATGGCTGTAGTACAGAAATATTACAATTAATCACTGCTGTCTTGTAAGCAAAGACAAACTTACTTTCTTGTATTATCTGATTAAGGCACGCATTTCAAACATTAAATTTAAGAAAGTACATAAGCTCAAGATGTAAACACTTTGCTATCAGCTATATAGAAAGTACAACGTAACTAAGGCCCAAGTTAGGGTAAGGAAAATGTTCTTGCTTTTCTGTTCCACTTTTTATACTCAGATTTTGTAAAGAGACGTGCAGGGGAACACAGCTAGATGTTAACCACTCTTCCCTGTAAAGCAGACAAACTACTTACATTAATGCTTTAAACAAATTACAATCATGTTTGAGCAAAGAAATAAAATGTAGCATAAAAACATCGCTTTTTTAAAAACTTTTAACAATCTACAGGAAAGGTCACATATTGCATATCCCATTATTTTACAGTCTGACTAGTTTTTTAACAGAAGGTGGATTAATTGTCAAGGACAGAAGTTTTGTAAATCTTGAAACAAAGAGCTGGTTAGACATTGAGACTGTCATGTGATCCTTTCATCATAAAAATGCCCTTGAACATTTATGGGGTTTTTTTTTTTGCATTTGTAAACTGGATGCCCAAAGGTGTTAGTAAATGCAGTCTTCTGAAAGTTTTTATTGATGTTAGCACTATGGAATTTAATTAGTAGGAGGTTTAATGGTAACACAGGACTGCTGTGTTGAAATGCTACTTGCTGTTTTAATAGAAATTCATTTGGAATTAGCAAGGGGGACTGCTGTGTTGATGAAATGCTACTTTAATAGAAATTCATTTGGAATTAGCAAGGACACTTTTGTAAATGTGTGGCCCTCAGGTCTCTCTAAGGTTTTGAGAGGCAATAATCAAACTGGTTTGTGATTGCACACTAATTTGTACGCATTCACTTTCTATAGATAAACATAGTTTTTTCAAGCGCTGTTGTACGCATTCTCTTTCTATAGATAAACATAGTTTTTTCAAGCATTGTTGTTATGGAAAAAATTGATATATATATTAACATTTACCAGTAAAACACATGTATCTTTCTCTTGCAGGTAGTTCTGGATATGCTTACCCCTCAGTCTGCTCTGCCTGTCGTACATCCAAGTCTGAAACAGGGTGGTGTGTGTGCTGTGTATTTAGCAAAGTAAGTATTCACTTCTGGCACTTGGACATTTATTCAGGCCATCACCTAACATTTGGTTACAAAAACAGCCCAACATTTTCATTAATGCTGCATGTATATGTGAAATGTTTTAACAGAATTCTCCCCACCTCCCTTTTTTTTAGGGAGTTGCACTCTGTGTACATTACATTTGGCTGAATCCTTTGGCCTTTACTTTGGGAACAGTCTCATTTGCACCTAATGACATCCTCAGAATAACTGCACTGTTTTCCAGGTCACTAGTCAGGTTGCTAGCTCCTTTAACCTAAAGTTGAAGGACTCATGTAACCTCAAAGGTAAAGAACGTGACAAAGGCAGTAGAATTGAGGCTTAACGGTGTATGATCTGAGTTTTCAAAATACTACTTTATCCTTTGCATTTCTTCAAAATGGTCAGTGGAAGTTTGCACCTAATGACATCCTCAGAATAACTGCACTGTTTTCCAGGTCACTAGTCAGGTTGCTAGCTCCTTTAACCTAAAGTTGAAGGACTCATGTAACCTCAAAGGTAAAGAACGTGACAAAGGCAGTAGAATTGAGGCTTAACGGTGTATGATCTGAGTTTTCAAAATACTACTTTATCCTTTGCATTTCTTCAAAAGCATCACACAGGTTATTGACCTTTTAGACAGAATAAGGACCTGGAAGCTCCCTTTTTTGTGTGAAAGGATCATTGAGGTAACTCACAGAAATTGGTTGGTACACCCTGCCAAACTCAAGAATTGCAAATCGAGCCAAATAGTGGAAACTCAAGAAAATATTCAAGAACCACCTCAAAAGGAATACGAAGAAATCCACATTCAGGATCAAGCAGTTCTTAAAGAAAGCGAATACAATGGTAAGAATGTTGTTGCTGATGAGAGATCCTGTTACTGCAATTTGATACTCCAAAGATATACTGAAGGCAAAGTTTGTAGGAAGAAGCAGTACTCTTCTTAGGTCAGCTGAGATTGTTGTGAAGAATAGCCAAGCTTCTGGGCAGCCTAGAGCTTCTCAGGTTTGAAAAAGGATACAATAGCAGTTTTTTAAATATCTAAATAGAAAATAAATTGTAATCTGCAAATAAAGCATGACTGCCCTTCTAGGCTTGTCAGGTTTGAAAAAGGATACAGTAGCAGTTTTTTAAATATCTAGATAGAAAATAAATTGCAATCTGCAAATAAAGCATGACTGCACTTCTACTGTTTCAAATTTTTGTTTTTTTAATAAAATTGAGTCCTCTGTACTCATCCTGTTGCTGCTTTAGAGGACCCTCATGGGCTTAAGGATTTCACATAAGAAATGTTACCAGTGTGCTCTCTTCTGTAATCCTGCTGTTCTGGCAAATCCCAAAAAGATGCCTCATGCTAGTATACATTTGCAAAATCCATAGTAGAGCAAAGCTGTCTGAATGTACCGATAGGTGACAACCAAACACTTTAACAGAAGTAAAAAGAAAATGAAACTATTTCAAGGAAAAATAATCAATGTTTGTTGGCAACTAGTCTGTGTGTGTGTTTTAATCTTGTTGGAAAGAATTAAAGAAATTTACTTCTCACAGAATCACTTTCTGACGCAGCTGAAACATACTGCTCTGCGCCTTACGTTGCTAGACCGTCGTATTGGCAGGAAGCTCATTCAGGTGAGACACTTGGAAAATGTGTTTTTATCTTAAATGTTTAGTAATATATTTATTTTCAAAAAGACTATTTTGGCGTAAGGATTTAACATAAAAAATGTTACCAGTGTGCTCTCTTCTGTAATCCTGCTGTTCTGGCAAATCCCAAAAAGATGCCTCATGCTAGTATACATTTGCAAAATCCATAATAGAGCAAAGCTGTCTGAATGTACCGATAGGTGACAACCAAACACTTTAACAGAAGTAAAAAGAAAATGAAACTATTTCAAGGAAAAATAATCAATGTTTGTTGGCAACTAGTCTGTGTGTGTGTTTTAATCTTGTTGGAAAGAATTAAAGACATTTACTTCTCACAGAATCACTTTCTGACGCAGCTGAAACGTACTGCTCTGCGCCTTACGTTGCTAGACCGTCGTATTGGCAGGAAGCTCATTCAGGTGAGACACTTGGAAAATGTGTTTTTATCTTAAATGTTTAGTAATATATTTATTTTCAAAAAGACGTTATTTTGTACTAGAACTTAACATGTTACTATATCATGAAATCACAAAAGTTATAATAAAATAATCATTGTATATTGAAATACTGAAGTAGTAACTTCTTTTTTTTTAATTAGCATTCCTTACCAAGCTGAGAAAGTATCGACCGCTGTTTTCTTGATGCTGCTGAGATGTTAGCTGCTAATTTGACTATTGTATCAGAATCAAATAAAATGTTACAAAGTAGCTGCTACGTTTTGCAAGTTGTGTAAGTTTTAACTAATGACTCCTTGGACTCCTACTGCCTTTGAAGTTTGATATCCCACCTACTATTTAAAGGGAAGGTTTTAACAGGCTCATCAGGGATGGTGTTACAATGCAACGGGGGCTGTTCTGCGGCGCGCAGTTATATTTCTGTCTCGCTGAGCGTATTTCATTCTTCATTCCTCGCAAACCACTCCATGGATTTGTCTTGGTTCAAGGTGCTGCCTCGTCTCCTTTTGCTGGACAGGCTCCGGCAGCCTACCAGAAATAAGGAGAGAAAAATGTATTAAGAAAATAATCGATCAAAGTCTGCCCTTTGAAATGTAAGTGAAGCAGCTTCTGACTTCACTGGCTACCAGTTTCTTTAAGAATAATGTTCCTCAAGCACAACTGTAAGAGAAACTGAAATTCACCGAATTTGTTCGCTTGATCAAGCTGTGCTTATATCAAGAAAAAGGCCGGTTCTTGGTAGGTATCGCTTCGGTTCACTTCCACCACCCATGCTGAAGTTGCCCAGTTATTTGGGAACTTTACTATACATAAAGCATTCTCAATCGGTCATGTAAGTCTCCACATTTACATGAGGTGGTTTAACACATTATACTTATTAAATGAAAGTATCTTTGCAGAACTGAGGCCTCTTACAGCTCCCCCAGGAAGTTTACATCTCACATGTGTTCCCCTCTTAAAAATTAATGAAACAATAAACTTTTGCCCCGTAACTGCTGTATGTCATGGAGGCTTTTCGTAAAGGCTCAGCACTATTTTCAGTAGATTTAACAGAAAGAAATTACACAAAACAATTTTCACAATAAACTCTTGTATTGTTTTCTACTTGTACCCCAGTCTTCAAAAGAAATCATTTAAACTCTGTCAACAATTGAGATAGACTTAAAGGAAAATGTGAATTGTGATTTAATGTGTGTCCAAACTGATGATGGCAAGAGAGCAGCCCACCCTTCCTAAAAATGGTGCTCTTAACAAGAGCACTTTAATTCATGTAACACATTCTTTTAATTCACATGACATACACCAGTAATTTTACTGTTTCTTCTAGCCAATCTTAAGTGTTAAAAATAGGATTCTCCATTGAAGTTATAATGCAAGAATAGTAATAAACGCCTAAATAGCCTGGAACACTTCCCAAAATCTACCGCAGTAGATGACAGTAATTTGAAGAGACTCAGAACATAAAGCAGTTGGTACTTCCAGGAAGTCAAGAGACAAGATGTGAAAAAGAAAATGAAACTGTGGAGTAACAGCACAGCTCTGCCAAGGTAACTGCATTTGCAATAGGGATGTGGGCTCACACAGAGAGACTGTCTCTTGTCATACCAAGAAGACACACAGTTGTCCCTACAGTAGGGACAGGGCAAATACGGCCTCAGTTGCCTAAACTAATTGAAAAATTATTTGGAATTCTAAAGCGTACCTTGGGCATAATTCAAAGGAGCGTCAACAAGCATTTTTTCAGTTGGAAAGGTGTCCTTCAAATTGTGGGATGACTGTAATTCCATCATCTCCAAAGCGCCACTAGATGAGGAAGAAGATGATGATAATCCCAGTCGTACAAATCTTCCATTTTTACCACAAAGCAAGCAGTCTGTAGGAGTAGCACTAGGCCCTCGGGGCAGCTGTACTTCAGTATTGTAGGTTCTCACAGCTCCGCTGTGGTGCACAGAACGTTCTCGCTGCCATACGTAATGTGTTGGGGCAATAGCCATCACCTACCGGAACAGCCGTTACGTCAGAAACCAGAAAAATAATGGGAAAACATACAGCTGAAAACAAGGGATCCAATTAACATATGGCAGAGAATTCACTGTGTAGCTGGAATGGGTATCATCTGCTATCTATTTGCTTCTGTCTCACTAGGGAGTTTGCTACCTAAGGCACAAGTGAACCAGTTCTGAACCAGACATGGAAACACATCGGTTTACACCCTTGTATATATTCATGTGAATCAGCACAAACACCAGCTTGTGCTTTGTTTGTTGGACTGAAGATGGTGTCTTCTACTAATGACTAAATTAGTCAGATCTTTTGGATCACAGTGTCACTGATGTCCACTGGGCACTGGGAAAAGCCTTCCACACTTCCCTTGGTCCTTGTACTTTTCCCATAAGCATCTAATCCCATCCCCAGAGATGGGGGTCTAGAGGAAAAGACATTTTCTTTTCCACCAGCACTAGTAAACATTGTGTTCTTAGAACATGACAGTGCTTTTCCAGAGAGATACCTTCCACCTGAAAAGTGAGGAATGTCTTATTCCCCTCCTAATATGTCTGAAAAAACTGTAGGTTGTAACACTGCATTAATAGTACAGAGTGTTACAAGTGTGTCCAAGTTTTTTTTTAAATGCAGTGAAAAACCCTTACCTTAAAAAGCCAATTGAAATCATATTATTTATTTTGAAGAGATTAAAATTTCACCTGAGGTGCTGGGATTTTTATTTGAAGGTTTTACTTGCATACAAGCTTGTAATTTGTAAAGCAAACACACGCACAAAATTATTTATGAAGTGAATGAAGTGAAACAACCAATGGTAAATTTTAAATAAAAATATTTGCATTAAGCAGAAGAGTCTAGTCAATAAAAACTTCATTTTTAACAATAGTGCAATGTAAAATATTCTAGCTATTCTAGTTTACCTTAAAAGCATGGTTTCAAAGAATGTGTTTCAAATACAGAAAAAAAATAATCATGGAGGATAAATGGACTATTACATTTTAGCAGCATCTTTTCTTTCCCATGGCTTGTCTACACACTTTTGGGAAGAGATAATTTGCATAGAGCTTGATTGTTAGCTCGTATTAATTGCTGTAGTTTCAGCATCTACAATTGTGTTTCAAATACAGAAAAAAAATAATCATGGAGGATAAATGGACTATTACATTTTAGCAGCATCTTTTCTTTCCCATGGCTTGTCTACACACTTTTGGGAAGAGATAATTTGCATAGAGCTTGATTGTTAGCTCGTATTAATTGCTGTAGTTTCAGCATCTACAATATTAACCCCCCCTACCTCTTCACAGCAGCGTCTGCTTACAATAGCCCTGTAGTCAATTCTACTCCATAGTTGATCTTTTAACTTTAAGAAATCAGGGAAGAGCTTTCTCCAGCCTTTTCCCAAAGCCCATGGGAAAATGTCATACTTTGATTCTTCATCGTCTTCTTCAACTGTATTTGCCAGATACCTTCAAATATACATATACTTGTATCTGTAAATGTCTTAAATCACTACATTAGTATGATTTCTAACATTAAAAGACATAATATTGAAATTTCAGCATCTACAATATTAACCCCCCCTACCTCTTCACAGCAGCGTCTGCTTACAATAGCCCTGTAGTCAATTCTACTCCATAGTTGATCTTTTAACTTTAAGAAATCAGGGAAGAGCTTTCTCCAGCCTTTTCCCAAAGCCCATGGGAAAATGTCATACTTTGATTCTTCATCGTCTTCTTCAACTGTATTTGCCAGATACCTTCAAATATACATATACTTGTATCTGTAAATGTCTTAAATCACTACATTACTATGATTTCTAACATTAAAAGACGTAATATTGAAACAGTTCTTTTTTCTAGTATTGTGAGAAAAACTGCTAACAACATACAGCCTTCTCTCTTGAGTACAGTAGTTTCTTAATCAGAAAGATCCGTATGCATCTTTTGGGTAAATAAAAACTTAAACTTAAGCTATGATAAAAATTGCTTTACCCTCTCTTGAGTACAGTAGTTTCTTAATCAGAAAGATCCGTATGCATCTTTTGGGTAAATAAAAACTTAAACTTAAGCTATGATAAAAATTGCTTTACCCTAGAGTCTCCTAAATGAGTAGATATGCAAAAACTAACATATCCTGACAGATTTCTCCGAACTGGCAAGATATCCTTGAACTAAAATGAACAGGTTTTGTCTGATTCTCTAAATAAAGCTTAAAACTATCTTATGGAGTCTTATGAATATTTTACATTTTCTACTTCATGGATTTTAACTACTCTTGGAAAATTATGTTACTGGCATTAAATTAGCAGCAAACAAGGTCTACTTTCATGTATAGATTAAAACCTTAAATTATTTTTTTTTTAGATCTATATTTCTCCCTTCTTTCACTATGTGCTACTTTTGGTTCTGGATCATCTTCTTAGACAATAGGAAAATACTTATTTCCTCTGGATCCACCTGATACCAAACTCCTGTAAATCATACCTAAACAAATTATGACTTTCAGTCTCCTCCTCGATTTGCTCCCTTGCTCCTTACCCCAATATTCCCTCTAGTCCCAGTGTCACCAGCCCCTTTGTCCCTTTCTAATAATCCTCTTGCTCTTCTGGCCTGGCTTTTCTCCCTTCAGCGTGGAGTCAGATGAGAATATCATTTACAGGAGAATAAACAGCCATCTTTCTCCCTGTACTAGTGTGCAAATCAGAGCAGCTGAGAAGTGCTGTTAGGGAAAAAGATGAGCTGAGCACCATAACACTGTGAAAGAAAATGCCGAATCATTCCGTAGATACAGCCAAATATGGAGAGATTAAATAGGCTTGGTAAAGACAGATTCCTGACTGCACCTCCATTTCAAAGTGTAGAAATTTTAGAAACTGTTCAAAACAGTTCTTAGAAACTCTCTGGCAACATTTTTACCGTTGACTCAAAACATGTTGATGGAGACTTTAATAAAAAGTTACTCCCGGGGTGTGTATCCCGAGGTACTGAAATGATGAAACATTTCAGTACAAGTGACTAACAGGCTGGCAAAGATATAAAGTGGGGTCTTATAATAACCTAATAACCTATATGTTGCCAAGTGTTGTCCTGCATGTATTTCTTGTAGTGCTTAAAAAAGTTCACAGATTCACAGTTTAGTGGGCAGAACGCCACACCAAGGCAAACGTCCCCTGGCTGCTGCTCAAGCTTGTTTCACACAGGTGGTCATCAGAGGAAGAACACTGAACTGCACTATTTATATATAGTATATAGATTATGTTTCTATACTTCATATAGGAACCAAACAGCAACAAACTCATTAAAGAAGTCTCATCATATATCTTAGTTATTAAGTGGCATAAACAAAGGAATAAAATAACGCAAAGTTTATGCTAATAAACCCAGATAATTTAAAAGTACTTACAGAGCGACAAAGAAATTGATTCTGGTATGCTCATTTATTGTGAAGTTAGCCCTCTTGAAATAAACGAAAGTCATTGCCAAGAGATACTGTTTTAAAATGTAAAATGAAGTATCAATATATTATTTCAGTATATAATTTCCTAAAATGCTTCACATATTTATCTTGTACCAAGATATTTTGATCATTTCTATCAATGAGAAAAGCATAAATTGAATTTCTTGAAGCTTCCGTACAAACACATTAGAAAAAAATGATGGTTTGTATTTGCATTACAGTACTGAGTGACTACGGGCAGCTTTTTCACTCAGCATCTGTTCTGTTAACTAAGAAGGAAATGCACTCACCTTGTCTGCAATTTTACAGCAACAATCCATCCAAAGGAAGTCTTGGATAAGATCATCATCTGCAACGAAAGCAAGCTGTAGCATTTCAAACACCAAAATTGTTTTTGTTAGAAAACATTTGTAAATAAATAACAGATGGTCTTTTATTAAGCCGAATAAAAGGAAAGAAGCTAGAGAACAGAGAAATTGAGGGGGGAAAAGAGATTAGGTATGAAAAGACTTAAGCAACAAAAGGAAACAAAGTACCAGAAAGGCAAGGTAGAAAATCTAGTGACTGCATTTCATTCATTCTCAGTAATAGCAAGTGAAGTTTAAAATCATCAGTATTTTTTTCTATTTATGTAATTTCTTCCTGCATTAAGTGGTTCCATCTAATAGCATACTGTTATTTCTAATGAACCATTCACTGTTGAGATCTCTGCACCTTTTATTATTTCTAATGAACCATTCACTGTTGAGATCTCTGCACCTTGATTACCTGATAATTGCCTTTATAAGGCAATACTGGCTTGATTATTTGCAGTCAGTGCATTCCTGTCTGTGAACATGTACTATAACAGGATTACTGCAAACTCCCTGATTCACTCCTGTATTCAAGGTTCAAATAAAATCCACGTGTAATCTTCCACTATTAATCTCTTCACTAAATTAAATAAATACAAAACTCTATATGAAAGAGACACAAATGTAACAGAGACGCTACAGCTCCTCAGATTTAATTCCCATTCCACTTCTACCCCCCACAAATGATTATTCCCACAATAAATAACATGTTTGTAAAACTGGGAGTCCAGCCTTTTTTAAACCTTGTGTAAAACACGATATACATTGTTTCACATGTATTTGTTGAAACAGTAGAGAAAATGGAAAGGAAAGGGAAATGATTGTAAAAGGAAGTATCATACCACCTGGGTTTCACTTGTAATTTAAAAAGATACTTTTAATCAGTTTGGTAGCCCTTGTTGTATTTTTTAACTTAGGCATTAGATATTTATACAGTAAAATAAAACAAAAAAAATAAGTTTAGACAAAGACATGGTATAAAAAGCACTCCAGAAATTATTGAATTTAGAAAACATAATTGCTTAATAGTTTTCTCATAGTTCAATCAATACATTGATATCTGTCATTATTAACCTACCAAATAACTTAAAGAAAGCTGTCATTTCCTGACGCTGAATAACCAGACATGGTCCCTTTGGACTTTTATATTTGTGACTAGGAACCTTTTTTTCCCAATTTTCTTCATGGTCTTTAAAAGTAGGCCGCTTTAGTCTAATAAGGTTTTTTTGCTGATGTGATCTGGATGCACTCGATTTTACACGAATGGTGACAGTGGGAGGTGTCTGACACAACAGATTGTGTCTCATTTCGGTAAGTAAAGGTTCCTGTTCAAAAAAAAAGAAAACATTAACTACAAAAATAGTCAGTTTGAGCAGTAGTTCTCTATATTTCTTTTGTTCAAATGAAACATTTCAGTAGAGCTTGTGTGTCAGGTGATACAAAAATTAAATGTATCACTACTAAATCTTGTGCCCTAAACCAACTATGTCAATTTCCTTAATTTAGTTCTAATTTTATAAAGCTCTTTTTCAGTGGAAGGAGCCTTTAGTCTTTTTCCATTCAAAATTTTTAAAAATGGAAAAAAAGTCCTTCCCAGAAAAAGTTGTCATTTGCCAGATCCTTGTAGCCCTCATATATCTACCAAAAAATCTCTTCTCCTCCCCTCCAATTTGACTGTGTATTTTTAACAGAGCATGAATAGAATTAACATGACAGAACCATAATTAAGTGAAATACTACTGAAATTCAAGTCTCGAGCTCTGAATTTTTATAACATTTTGTTATAGGCATTGGGAATAAAAACTTAGCCCTCAAATAGGATGTACCCCGAAGGCATAACCAAGGAAACAAACCTGAGGTGTTTGTAACCCTAAAAATCAAGAAGATACCCAATGGAACGTGAGGAAAGGTATTTTTAGCCAGAAGCAAATGCATTTAAGTCCTGAGCGTATCCCTCCACAGAGGGCTGTGGGAGGCCGGCTGTAGAGCAGCCTACCCAGCTCTCCAGCTCTTGGTTAGCTGCTGCATAAACAACAAAAAAGCCCCCCAGGCGTGGATGTGATTACGCTCTTTGGTTCCCAGCAGGTCGGCCCCAGACAGGCCCTCGCCCCGGCCGGCCCCGCTCCCCTCACGGCCCGTCCCTCGCACCACAGCTCCTCGCCGCGCACCTCGAGATGGCGCCTCCCGCAGCCAATCGGAGCGCGCCAGGCAGCCGCCTCAGCCAATCGGGTGGCGAGGCGCTCTTACTGCCCCTCCCCTCCTCCTGCCGCCTGGGGGCGCTGGGCTCCCGCGGAGCCCGCCCGGGCCCTGCCAGCCAATCAGAGAAGGGCATGGCTGTTGCTAGGCGGGCTGGCGGGGCTACCCGCGGCTCGGCCTCTCTCCTCAAGAGGGAAGCCATGGTGGCCATTGCTCTTCCCCCCGCCATAAACTACGGTTAAACTCCACCGTAATATCTCAGCTGCCCAACAGCATTGTAAAAACTTCCTTAAAACATCTCCCAGGACACGAGGGAAAAGGCACACCACGCTTTAAAGATCATAAAAAGTACAGGCGCAATAAACCCTGCTCTTACTTTTCCACAGAAGCAATTAGTGCAATTAGTCTAAGGCAGTCTATTGAAATGTAGTAACAAGAATGAAAAACTCCCTTCGCTAGTAAGATTCAGTGTGAAATCCTACTGTTACCTTTTGTTATGAGAGCCAAAGATTGATTCAAGGAAGATGGAAGGACACACATCCAATTTGTTTGCCTTTGTTGAGGCCAATTAAAGTGTAACTGGTCTTATTTGCTACAGTAATGAGAAGAGAGACCTTTTTACTCCTTCCTCATCTTTTATTAATAACTTGTTAGGTACATTCATATAGGTGCTCTGAGCTAGTGAGCATATAGGTTGCATTCAAAGAGTTGTAGTCAACATCTCAATGTCCAGTACACCAGTGACAAGTGGCGTTCCTCAGGTGTCCATATTGGGACCAGTACTGTTTAAAATCTTCATCAATGACAAAGACAGTTATATTGAGTGCACCCTCAGCAAGTCTGCAGATGACACCACGCTGAGTGGTGTGGCTGACACACCTGAGGGACAGGATGCCATCCAGAGGGACCTGGACAAGCTTGAAAAGTGGGCCCCTGAGAACCTCATGAGGTTCAACAAGGCCAAGTGCAAGGTCCTGCACCTGGGTATTGAATCCCCGGTATCAATACAGGCTGGGAGATGAAGGGATTGAGAACAGCCCTGAGGAGAAAGACTAGGGGCTGCTGGTTGATAAGAAGCTCAACATGAGCCAGCAATGTGCACTCATTGCCCAGAAAGCCAACCACATCCTGGGCTACATCAAAGTAAATCTTTATCCACACAAAGCCCTCCAGGGTTTGTATGGTTTTTTTCCTGCAGTTCTCCCCTTGCTAGATTTTTTTTTTTTTTGAGCTGGTGGTTCTGCAAAAAAATTGTAAAAGATTTTTTTTTCCTTTTTAGTCTCAAAAATCTGTTACAGTCAAGTTATTCAACAGGTATTGTGACTCTCTAACCCCTACTGTATTGTCCCCCACCTCCCAGTACCCTGGGCTCTGCTCTGAACCACACCAGCTGCACAACCTTGGCTCAGACTCTGAGGAAACTGAAGTTGTGAGAAAAAGCTGTGAGAAAGTCTGAAACTTTACCTTTCTTTCCTTGCAGGGCTCCGCAGCCTGAGGTAGGATTGTTGAGATGGGGACAACTCAAGGATTCGACTTGGAAACAGCATGGACAACCATCAGGGTGGAAAGAGGTTGATGCCTGAACACAGTGACAATAAGGAAACAGAACTTTACCTGACAAAATCCTCTGCATGATATAGTGCACTTAACTGGTTCTTAACTTCGCTTATTATTACTTAGAGTTTTCAGAAGGTTGTCAAACCATTCATCCAAGAATATCTGGAAGAATGTAGCTTTCTGATTCCCAAGTAGTCGTTGGACATCAGGGGGCACTCTTTCACCACCAGCAATTTAAATGGAGACGCTGCAGCATTTACACACTGGATTTACGCTGTACTTAATTCCTAGTCCTTCCTATAGGTGGACATTAAATCAATTTAGCTACTCTTCATCTTTATGTTATCACAGTTTGAACGTTTTGGTTTTTTTTTAAATGTATATATATATAATGACTGGGACCTGGGTTTGAAAGACCTGGATTTCTTACAAAATCTTATTTTTTGAAAAAAAGTAATCCATAAATCATAAATATCAATTCTATAAGATATATAGTTACATATGTACCCAGTAACTAGATCCAAAAAGGCAGATGCAGAGCAGTTTGCTTCCTTCAAACAAAAAAAAGAACTTAAAAATTTTAGTGATTGAGTTGTTTACAGACAGATTAAGAAGCATCACTGAAGAAAAACACAGGGTGGGTATTTTAATAAATTATGTTTAGGCTATATATACTTTTTAAATTTTTTTTTAATATTTGTGAGGTAGGGAAACAAATGCCTTTGGACTCTGATGTCCTTTCCAGTGAAACTTTTTTTGTTGTTTAAGAAAGATAAAGTACCATAGGAAGAACATCTGGTATTTCTTTTCATACAAAGGCATGACAAAGAACTATTGGTTCTTTTAAATACAGATCATTGTTCAAATTAAAATACCTGTTTCTCAATTATAGGCTTTTCCTACTTGTTGCAGAGTGTGAAGTAGAAAAAAAAAAGTCCCTCTTCCCTGCAGAGACGACCGATGACCTTGTTGGGGGGATCCCAGCCTCTCCGTCAAATATGCTCTGGATGAAATGTACATGGGATGAGAGCTCAATTTCTAAAGACCATAATGAAACTGAAGCATTCACCTAAAAAGCAAACTCTGGACATGCAGTTAACTCTTTCAGAATAAAGGGTGTATAGCAAGTCACACAAGTTTCAGTAAATTAAAAAGGAACAGATAAACCACCTGAACCCACACCTATCACCAGAAACCTGTTTTTTATGTGGGAAGAGAGAGTGAGGATTTAGATGAGCTGGGTGAAACAGATTGTTTCGGCATCACAGTGCCTGGGCTAGGACTGACCGTAACAGACTGAATATGCTGCACCTGTTTGCTACTTGAGATCACAAAAAAGGATACTGGAAAAGCACCTCACAGCTAAATCCTTGCTTTTGACAAATGTTACAGTACAATTAGAACTACAAATGGTCCGGTGCCACTTAAGTATCTGTCACTGATGGATGAATGGGCAGGAAAATTGTTTTCAGCTTTGTTTACTTGAAAATCACTTCTAAGCACACAGCGGGTTTCCCAACATGCAAGTCCAAGAGCAGCTGTACTTATTCTCAGGTACTGAGAAATTCAGGAACTAGAAGAAAAAAATCATTTGGAAATTACGTAGGGAACAAGAAAGGTACTGACTAGACTAATACAGCAAATGGTAAAAGAATGTGAAGGCTGCCAGCAAACACAGTGCATGTTTAAACACGCCGCTCCTGCACGCTTCCCAACAGGTGAGTCCTCTGCAGCAGAAATCTACATCAAGTACTGGGGACATGCGTTTGAGCTTGCTGTTCATTGCTACTGTAAATAGACTGATATATCCTGTATGAACTTAATTAATTCAAAGTGGACAGTGGAAGACTTTAAAATTTATTTTTAGGGATTGGCACTTCCATGCTGGTTGTAAATGGAACGAAGTAATCTTATCTGAAGAATTCCAATTACTTTGTCAAAATAAATAGATGAGATAGACTACGTTAGGTCATCACCATCATGTCCTGAAATGGCAAGTGACAAATGATCTGTCTCTCAGCAGCAGCAACACACAAGTCTCGGTGCATATTTTACATTCAGGGGAAAAGAGATGATCTGTACAATATTCATTTAAGTGTTTTTTTGAACCTTCTGACGTCACCCACCATATTCTAACTTTTTACAGCCACTGGAGATTGTATTTTGCATTGGCAAGTATTTAATAAAAAATCTTAAAAAAATCTTCTTGATGGCAGTGTAGCTGAGCCAATAAAACTTCAAGAATTTTATGTAAAGTTTTATAAAATCACATTAGCTGAAAATATTCCATTCCCATCTAGTGAATCCCACACACACATAGTCTCACTGATGTAATACATATGCACACATCAGTACACAAAACCATGAAAGATCTAAGCAACTTATTATGCAGGAAATAGATCTTTCTTTTTATCTACGGAAATCAAAAGTAGAAAAACATTGCTGCTTTCAAAATAATGTCTTTTTTTTTTTCTTCCTGAAGGTGATTTCAGGACTTTTTAAAACAATAGTCATTTGAGAGGGTGAAAATAGGTGAAAGCCTTCAAACTCTTGGCTGGCTGGCTTATGATTCTGAAACTCGGCAAAAAGTGTAAATTGCATCAAATCTTTCCCATCTCTCATTTTCAGTTCCAAACTTTAGATTTACCTCTCAGTTTAGTGGTCACATAATTCAGATCACAAACTCTTTCAAGCGCAGGGTATCTATTTATGCTCTGGTTTTACACTGTTGAACACAATCGAATCTTTGTCCATGACCACAGCCCCTATAATATGAAACAATAGTGGTAATCAAGACAGGACAATTTCTCTATTGTCAAGAGCCTTATTTCCATGGCACAGCATTCAGAAGACTCACTCCATGAAAGGATTAATCAAGAGTCATGTAGCTATAATTTCTGAAGGGAAAATTATTTTTGTATGCAAATAGTTAGGCTCCAATCCCCTCATCCTGCTAAGAAAGGAACAGCATCAAGTTCAGTAGTGGGAAGGCAGAACATCAAGGACAGCCCTTTGGAGATTTAAAACAAAGAAGTTAAAATGTGAGCTGGAAAGAGTCTGGAACTGTTTTTTTCTTCACTCTCATCCAGTGGCCCAGGCTCACACAGTTAAATTGGAGTTGCCACAGTTTGTTAAACATTGAAGGCCCCTCCCAAGAAGCAATGGGCTTTATAATTACTCCATTGCAGGTCAAAAAGCTTTCTGTTTCTCTGAGTTCAGTAATCACCAGTTGTAAAAGTTCTCTCACTCAGAGGTTGAACCAATAAAATGACTCGTACAAGGGCTGTAAATTAAAGTGCAGAGAAACAGATGAACTTTGGTACCAGCTATTGCCAACTGAAAAAAATCAGGGAAACTCATGAACTAGGAAAGTAGTTACAACACAAAAGCAGTTTATTTCTCTGAGGAAAAAATAAAAACCAAACAAATAAACCCAAAAGCATCCTGCGAGCTCTCTTAACCCCACTCTCTGCTGTCCGTTGTGTTATGCTAAATAGTGTCTGTGGGATGAGATGTTTCTGCTCAGCTCATGGGTGTATTTATTCACCTTTGCTTGGGGTATGACTATACACGCAAGCTGGAGTGAGGCAAGAGTGGGTGGGGATTTCCATCATGTTAGCTGCTCCCTGGAAACCGCCCCTGTGCATGCCGTGACCCTGTTTACGTTGAGGAATAAATATCTTCTGCTTACTGCTGGGTACACCTGTATCTATAGGGTGTTGCTCTGGCTTGCCTTGGAGCAACCTGTATATATAGACAAGTCCGACACAAGCAAATTTAATGGCAGACACCTCCCACCAGACCAGGTTGCTCCAAGCCCCATCCAGCCTGGCCTTGAACCCCTCCAGGGATGGGGCAGCCACAGCTTCTCTGGGCAACCTGTTCTGGTGTCTCACCACCCTCACAGGAAAGAATTTCTTCCTAAGATCTCATCTAAATGTCCCCTCTTTCAGTTTAAAGCTGTTCCCCCTCATCCTATCACTCCACTCCCTGATCAAGAGTCCTGCCCCATCTCTCCTGTGGCCTCCTTAGGTACTGGAAGGTCATTATAAGGTCTCCCTGGAGCCTTCTCTTCTCCAGGCTGAACAACCCCAACTCTCTCAGCCTGTCCTCACAGCAGAGGTGCTTCAGCCCTCTGAGCATCAACCAGTGAGTGTTCTGCGAGATTGGGCACAGTTGAAATGAATATGGTTGTCTCTCTGCTACTAAGTAGTCTGGGTGAAGAGTCACTAAGTTTTTTATATCTAATGCTGCACATTTTAAGCAGCTTTGAATGCTGATGATAGATGTTTTAAAAATGCTGTTGCTGTAAGAGCCATAGAGATGTATTTTCAGGTAAGTAAAGACAAGGATCACAAGCCTTGTTACTGACCCCACCCACTGGAGTTAAGACTAAGCCCTGGCAGAGAGGTGAGGATGCCAGAGCATATCAGACAGGTTGGTTTCTATAATCCTCAAAGACGCAAATAGAACATACATTAATTGCATGAGCGTTTCTCTCCTGTGGCTACACCCTGTCTACTCTTATGAACCTCTGAACCAAGAGTCCTTTACCTCTTAGTAGATACTCTTACTTTCAAAGGTCTCCAGAACCAAGCTGTGGGCTTCTGAAGCTGAGCTATATTTGACCAGCTCCATACGGCTGAAACATTTAAGCTCTCCATGACTCCAAATGTTCTCATTATTCAAATAAAGATAATAATACCTGTTACGTAGTGTTTTTCAAACCCTCAGGAAAAATAAAATACGCAGAAGCATCACTTCTTATTACACTTCTTTGAGCAGCAGCATACATCGGTTTGTCAAGGCATAGAATCTTCAGAAACACAGCATGGACAAGATACTCTATATAATTTTGAAGTATTGTCCTCTTCCTACAGTCCTTTCATAGCTTCATCCTATGCCGATGGTAAAGGCTGTAAAAAAAAGTTGAACATAAATATTCTAAAACTGTAGCAATAAAAATTTCCTGAGCTTGTCTATAATGTAGATAATGTATATAGCAATGACTGCCGTCCAAGAAAAACTGTTGGCACTTTTGAGCATAAGGCTGTTGTTTCTGGTTGTTTCTAAATTTGTCAGCCTTAACCAGTTAAAAGTTATCATGAATTTTCAAAAGTCATCAATTTTCTTGGGAAAACACTAGTAAGACTATGTTTTGCAGTTTGATATAATACATGACCTATTTTCTAGGGATGAGGCTTTGGTTATCTTCGGAAGGGTACACCCAAAACCGATGGGGTTTGCAGCCTCTGAAGAATCTCAGTTAGAGCTAGATTGCCAAATACTCTGATTGGCCCTCACCTTGCTCTCTCATCTTTCTGATCTGCTGACCACAGAGCATGTCACAGCCCCACCTTGTCGTTTCCTGATACTTCAGGAGTGATTCATACATCCCTGCAACTTTCTCTGAAATCAGATTTTGTCCCTTTTCTGTGCCTGGGGAGTATCATAAAGCCCATTTACCCAATTTCTAGGGAAGTCCTGGAAATGACCTCCTAAACACCCAGTACTGCACTAATTCTGACTGGCTTCAGAAAGAGCTGGATTTATCTCCTCGGATCTGATCCACAGTTCACACAAGTCAGTAGAAAATCTCCCGCTGGCGTCACTATCTCTTGAATACGTTAGTGAACTGAACTTTATACTCCAAACAGATCTGGAGCAGATGTAAACTACAGAGCGAAAGCTGAAAAATACATGAGTTTTCCAAATGTAAGTTTACATATTCTCTAGGGCCTGGTGATCAAAACTTTTTTTTTTTTTCCTTTTTGCTATATGATAGAGCCAGTGTGCTCGTAGCATTTAAATTATAATTTGTCTGAGCTGTAATTATGCTTTAGTAAGTGTAAACCACAACTAGCCTACACTGCACTGCCTCATCAGCATTCAGCTATTTGATAAGAGGAGGTATCTCCACCAGTTGATACAATTATCCTGTTTATTACCAACAAGCAAGGCCCTACCTTTAGATCTATAAACTGAGGAAAATTAATATAGAATATCTATTGAATAAGGTCAAATATTCCAGCACAAAGAGTTATGTATCACCACAAAAGGTACAAAAAAGACACTGCATTCCAACTCCTTAGACACCATGGTATCTGTGTGATGAAACTACTGTGACATTTGGGCCATTTTATATCTTTAACCATATGCTTGCTCCACCATCTTTGATTCTACAGGGAAGCTTCCCTCAAAATAACCTGCAAAGAAGGTAATATTAACACCATTGTGAATGGTCCTTCATTTCCATTTCTTCACTGGGGAACAACATCATGTAGAGCAACTCTCTCTGCTTCTAAAATACTGAGCAATGTTTAAACAGTAATTTCTTCAGGTTTGGAATCCTGGGGAGATTACAGTTAATGAGCTCTTTATTTGCTCCTGCAAATTGGAGCCAAATGAAATGCTGTACTACAAAAAGCAACACGATGCACTTATCTTGGCACCACAGTTATGGTATGGCTTTCTATAGGTGATAACTAACAGCTCAGGGAAAACATAATTTGTCATAGTAAAAACCCAAAACACACTGTAAAGGGCTTCTTTGGTCCACACAAATCTCATAAGACCATTCAACCCTTAGACACTAAAGGTTATGCCTATTTTTGTGTACTGACAGCAAAAACCCAGCTGGCATTAGAGGTGGCTGAAGAAGCAGCACTACTTTCAGCGGTAGCCGCTGTGAGGTTTCAAAACTGCAGACCAAGGCTTGGATTTTTAAAATTCAGCACAGAGGTTTACCTACACAGCACAAGGGCCAGGAGAACAAGGAGGATTAGCCTGTACTCAGCCTGGGTAGCTCTTCTACATTTACACATTTTAAAAAAAAAAAGGGGGGGGGGGGCAAAAGCCTATCGTAAAATTTACACTTCCTTATTATCAAGGCTTACGTAGTTCAGCTTGGTTATTTGTTAACAACAGAGTAACTCTTCTCATCTCGAACAAACCAGTACATTTACATAGAAAATGAGCTTTACAGTAAGACAGGTGTTTCTAATCCTATTGATCCTGCTCATTTTTCTGAAGAATGCCATCCTTTGACAACAGCAAAGTAAGAAGTCCGTATCCAAGACTTTAAAGTCTTCCTGAGTTTTCACACTGGTAACATCATGCTGCTCTTCTGGGTCGTTAACAAGTGTATCAGAAGAGTATTACAAAGCCACACAAAACCACAAGAATCAAGGTAAATGCTGCAAAAGTCTAATTCAGGCTGTACCAGAAGACCCAAAACCCCATCATTTAACTCGGCCCTAAGCCAGCACCTACCTGATTTCAGCAGGGCACTGTACACAATGATAAACACAAACCAAAAAATACAACACAAACACAGCTGTGCACAGAGACAAACCACAAAGATAGCTAACCTGTGCTTCAGAACACGCAAAGTTTTCAAACAGTTTCATTAACTGAGGTCTGCATACACAAAAGCAGCAACATGTTTCTATTGTACAGTGAGTGCAAACTCTGGTAAGAGGAAGTTCCAAGTTTCTGGAAACTGATGGTTTCTCATAAATGTTCATCAGTTCTGGAAACTGATGGTTTCTCATAAATGCAGGAACAGGCTTAAGAGGGGTGTCATTCAGGCTTTTTCCTCTAACTTGTTTTTCTAGGACAGTAATGTATCTTCCAGAAAGATCTATGCGTATTTTTTTCTTAACTGAATTAATAAACTGGGAAAAAAAGCTTCAGAAAATATTTTTTGGTGTACCATACCTATCTTTTGTCTTCCATTTTGGCATTGCTTATACACTTTGGAAAGCTGCTTTGGAACCTGCAGCAGGCTTTTCCGTGTTTCCTTCTCGGCCACTCTGAGGGGCTCAGGCACCCCCTGCCATCTCACAGGTCCCCACAAAGACCCGCTGCCCGGAGACAACGCAAAAAGCACATTTTGCTGCACAAAGAAGCGCGGGTACCGCGGCACCAGAAGCCACTCTCTTCAGGGCAATCCCGAAGAAGAACGACCTAGTGTATATTTTAGAAAAAAGGAGGCAAAAAACCTCCTTAGTCTATATAGATAGGCGTTCTGTTTTTTCTTAACTGAACCGAGGCATTACCAGGATATACTCCTCACGGAGTAGTACAAAGGGCACCACAGGACGTGAAGAAAACTAACTATACAGGGTGAATATTTATGACTGGCTCCCAGATTGCGGGGGCGAGAGAAAACACCGACCCACCCACCCCCGTTTCTCTCCTGAGGGGACGGAGGGTGCGGGGCCCAGTGGACACAGGGCCAGGGCAGAGGCCTCGGGGCCGGCGGCCTCCGGGACAGGCCTTCCTGGGCCCCGGCCCTCTGAAGGTCACCGGCGGCGGCGGGAAGCCCCGAGCCGAGACAGGAGGTGGCTTGTCCCCCCCTCCCCGGCCTGTTTGTCACAAGGCAAACACACCCGGGAGCTTCCCCCCATGACTAACAGTTTCTCCTCGACGGCGGGGGCGGCCACCCGTCGGCTCGCTGACAACGACGCCCCCTCCTCCCCTCGAGGGCGGGCGGGGCGGTTTCACAGCCCCTTTACGGGGACCGACAATACCTCAGGATACCCCTCCCCGGGCCACCGCTCCCCCTCCCCAGCCCTTACGGAAGAGGCTATATTTGGGCCGGGACAGGGAGCGGCGACTCGCCCTGCCCCATCCAGTTTCGCCCAGGTGCGGTGAGGGGAGGGGAGGTGGGGGGTGGTGGCGGTTTAACAGCGCCCGGCTGGCTCGGGAGGAGGAGCCGTCGCCTCCTCCGCGTCTCAGGTGTAACCGGAGCCGGGAGGGCGCGGCGCAGCCACCACCACCTGCGGAACCTGTCGGGCGGCTCACATCGGTTCGGCCGCCGCGCAGGCACCGGTCCCTCTCCTCTTCCTCCTCCTCCCGTGCCCTACGGAGGACTCTTCCCCGGCCCCTCCGCGACCCACCCGCCGGCACCAGCCATGAAGCCGCTCTGGGGGGCTGCGCTCCTGCTGCTGCTCTGCGCCGCCGCCTGCGCCCAGAACTGTGAGTGCCCGTACCCCTCCTTCCCCCCTCCATCTCCCCGTACCCCCTTTTCCAACCGGGCTCCCCCGCCCCGCTATCCCCACTCTTGCCGACCCTTTCGCCGGCCGGCGGGCCGCCCCTCTGGGCACCCCGCTCCGCCACAAAATGGCGCCCCCTCTCCGCCGGGGCTGATGGCGGGTGGGGAGGGGCCGCCCCGCGCGCGGGAAGGTGAGGAGGGGGAGGCCTAGAGCTCCTTTGTCCCCGGCCGGAGTGGCCTAGGGGGGAGCCGGGGCGTCGCGAAGGGTGGGGAGCGGTGGAGCACAGGTGCCCCACGCCCGGCCGGCTCCGTCCGGTGAGGGGCGGCTTTGTCTCTCCTCACCGCCGTGCCCCGGGGTGTCTCCCCGAGGGGACGGCCGCGCTCACGGCCCCGCTTTCCCTTCCTTCCAGCCTGCGTTTGCCAGAAGAACAAGCGTGTGACCAACTGCCAGCTGGTCAACGGCGTCTGCCAGTGCCAGTCGGTGGGCTCCGGTGTCCCGGTGGACTGTAGCACCCGTGAGTACAGCACGCCCCGGGGGGGAGGCTGCGCTGGGCCCGGGGGTGCTCTCTGGTAGGGGGCGGTGAGGAAAAGTGCCAACTAAACTCAAGGAAATACGTGAAAAAACGACCATTGAGTTCCCGGCAAATAATGGTAGCAAGGAAGGAAAGCTGCTTCCTGGTCTTCCAGGTCAACTGGTGATGGAAGATAAGCGTTCAGGGTTCCTCCTGCGTGACTTGTGTGGAGGTGCACACACTGGTGGAGTCTCCTCCGTCCTCCTTTATTTTCGGTTTCTAATGGCAAGGATTTATCAAAGATTAATTTATAGTTTCCTTGTAAGCATGAATCATGACTTCTCCTACCAATTCAGAGATAGAAGAGTCTTGTCTCAAGACCTGACTCTTGGTTTGGATTCTTCCAAGCTGCAAATGATCCTCTCACTGTAAGAAATGGAAAGTGGCCGGACTTCTGAAGGCATTTGCCTTGAGAAGCTGACACAGCCCAGTTGTGTTGGCTTTATGTACCACCTACGTATTACACACCCGTTCCTCCTTGTAATGGCTTCAAATCTGGTTCCTTCTGATGTAAACCTGTGTTTTTACAGACCGAAGAGCTTTGTTTTGAACCTGCATGGCTGGATGCTGCATAACGTGACTTTCTGGTTACTTTTAGTGACTTCAAAATGCCTGTTGATGAAAGCGGAAATGAGAGGCTCAAAATCAGGTCGTCGTGAGAAGCCAAAAGATGCATTTGAAGATACTGATGGCCTTTATGATCCCGAGTGTGAAAATACTGGTGTTTTCAAGGCGAAGCAGTGCAATGGAACCACCTGTTGGTGTGTGAATACAGCTGGTGTTAGAAGAACTGATAAACATGATGCTGACTTGAAATGCAATCAATTAGTCAGAACAATGTAAGTGTTTCAACAGGGTATGCTGTGACACTAAAACATTCCTGTATTGGGTTCTGCATTTCAGAGGACTTATCTGTATGAAGCATGTGCTGGGACTGAAAGACAGAGCAATAAGCACTTGACTACTGCTTTTTTTTCTCTATTTCATTCAGAAATGAGTCATTGAAGGGGTTTGGAGGGGGACTTCTTTTTCTTTTTTCTCCTCTCGCTGCTGTCTCTCTTGCTGTTCTGTTTTTTTTCCCCGGGGTTAGACTTTTAGTATGCATTGTTACATGCACATGCTCTGAGAGTATTCATTGTACTTGCCTGTTACTTCAGGTGGATCATCATTGAAATTAAACATGGTGAGAGGAACACTCCGCTGCACTCTGACGTTTTAGACAGGTAAGTGATGATAGCAAGATGGTATGGCAGTGCCTGCATGCACCACTAGATACCTGGTGTATTTCTGAACAATTGTTTAAAAGCTCTGTCAGACCTCTGAACTAATTTGTAAGACATCTTAGAAGTGACCTACAGATCCTTCATTTTTATTGGAAATAATTTAATTGTTAATGAGATTCACTTCCTTTTAAAATTGATGGCTGGTAGAAAACCTTACTTTTTATTGGAAATGAATTAATTGTTAACGAGATTCACTTCCTTTTAAAATTGATGGCTGTTTTTTTTTATCAAGTCAATATACTGAAGGAATTGAAAAGTGAAACTGCCCCAAAAGTAAACTGACAAAGATGGTGGAGGGGCTACATAGAGGCAGCAGAAGAAAAACAACAGTTTAGCTATTGTTTTGGCTAAAACAAAATCCTACTTCTCTGTTAGAGGTCATATAGCAAGAAAAATGTGCTATTAGGTCTCCCCCACTGGAACAAAAGCTGATATTCTCTAGCTTCTCTTCTGAACTCTCAAAAGCTATTCAAACCCTTCTCTCTACCACTGCAGTAATGTTATGTGTTTATTTTTCACTAAGTGCATCCTCACTGTTGGGAATTAACAGGCCTCTAGTACAATTCAGTAACGAGAGTGCTGTGGGTTTGGTTGGGATGGAGTTAACTTTCTTGGTAGCAGTCGGTGTGGTGCTGTGTTTTAGAGTGGTGACCAAAACAGTGTTGATAAGTCACTGGTGTTTTTGCTGTTGCTGGATGGTGCTTACGTAGTGTTAAGGCCTTCTCAGACTCCCACTCTCCCGCCCCAGTGATCAGGTTGGGGGTGGGCAAGAGGTTGGGAAAGGGGGGGGACACGGCAGAGACCGCTGACCCCAATTGAGCTGAAAGACATTCCTTATTGTATAATGTCATGAACAGTATCTGGGGGCAGGTCTCTCCCAAGTAGACATTGCTTGGAGATTGGCTGGGCACCGATCTGCTAGCGGTGAGTGACACAGGGTGCTTCTGTGTCACTTGGGGTTTTCTGTTTCCCCCACCCAACCCTTTCACTTATTACACTGTCTTTACTTTGCCCCGTGAAGGTTTTTTTTCTTACTTTTGACCCTTGCTTCTGTTCCAAACCCTGCTGGGGGAAGTGAGAGACCAGGTATGACAGTTTACTTGCCAGATGGGGTCAGCCTAGCACAGAGACTGCAGGAAAAAGAAAACCAGTTAATTACACTAGTCTTCTCTGCTTTTGAAAATAGAAGTGTAAAATAGTACTGTTTTTAACAGCTATGGCTTTAATATCCTTACAGATTCTTCAAGCAGTTGATTACCAGTCGCTACATGCTGGATGGACGCTACATAAGTAGTGTTCTGGTAAGAAGCACATAGCTTCTAGTGAAGTATCACATTTTTATTTTGTTGTGAATAACTTTGAAAAGTCTTGTTTGACAAATGCAGTACAGTGTGAGTCTTATTAGAAGATTTCAAAATAGTGACACTTGCTGAGCAGGTAGCAAATAGCTGTATCTGAACTGAAATACTGAGAAATTACATATTGCTCTCCTCAGTCTGTAGATTAATCCTTATTTTGCTTCACTAAAAAAGTGAAGTATGAATCATACTGTAAACAGTTGGCTTGAGAACAAGTACCAGAAACTTGATTCAGGTTGTGAGTTCACAAGTTGGATCATAATATTTCACTCTGTTGTTTGATTGTTGGATTTAAACCAGACCCTTCTTAATACCATACTATATTTTTTGCAGTATGAAGAACCTTTAATTACTATTGACTTGAAACAAAACTCCTCCGAAAAATCTTCTAGGGATGTGGATATAGCTGATGTGGCCTACTACCTTGAAAAAGATGTAAGTGTGTCTTGGGTGAAGCCTGCCAAAGAAAAAAATACATATTTTGCATTGCACTCAGTAGTGTTGCTAAAGCAAGATGAATTAATTGCAGTGCCTTTTTATTCCTATCTATTCTTAGCTCAAAGGTGACTCCATCTTCCATGAAAACATACTGAACATGACCATTGATAATGAGAGGCTGCTTTTTGAGAAGGTGGCGGTCTACTATGTTGATGAAATACCGCCGGAGTTTTCCATGAAGTCTCTGACTCCTGGCCTCATTGCTGTCATTGTAATAGTAGTAATAGCCATAGTTGCTGGAATTGTTGTTCTGGTAAGTTCTAACAGCGATTTGGGAAATAACAGACCAGGGTAATTCGACTCTGATAGAAACAATCTTCAGTAAACTAGAATTTTTTTGAGGCTTGGGAGGTGGGAAGGAAGCATTGGACCATCGCTGTTTCGGGTCAGGACTGAAAGGTGTTGTGTGGAAAAATAAAAATACTAGAAAAAAGTCATTGAGGTGAAGAAAGTACCTCCTAGTTTAAAGTAGTCAAGAATGACAGGTGGCCTCTTGTGTATCTGACTCTGGAAGGGACAATTTCAAGGTCACAACCAGATAAAGTTTCCTGTTAAGTCAAGACTTAAATAAAACTTCACAATTATTCTGTCCTTCTCTTACAGGTCCTGACGAGGAGGAGGAAAGGGAAGTACGTGAAAGCAGAGGTAATTTAATTTCTGTTTATGGTACATGTGTGGGGAAGAGGTTGGCCAGAAATCAGAACCTCCGAAGTTTGTTGTAGTTTAATAAAAGCTTGGTTTGGGTGCTTCAGCTGTGTTCAATGAAACTGAGAATACTGAAATTCTGTTAACTAGTTTTCACCTCTATAGTTCACCCTGTCTGTTCTGCACCCCTTTCAAAGACAACTCATTATCTGCTGCCTTTCCCAGGGGTGGGGGGTGGTGCTGACAGCACATACTGCTTTTACATATCTATAGCAAGGGCTACACAATCCACAGGAAATACTGATAGTCTTGTTCTGTCCTGAACTGTTGAGAAGCAGCACAAATGTTGATCTCTTTCTGCCTCCTCCCCTCCAGGTAAAGGAAATGAATGAAATGCATAGAGGGCTGAACGCGTAATTAAATTGCCTGACAACAGAGTAAGATTAGCACAAATGTTGATCTGTCCTGCCTCCTCCCCTCCAGGTAAAGGAAATGAATGAAATGCATAGAGGGCTGAATGCGTAATTAAATTGCCTGACAACAGAGTAAGATTCCAACAAGAAGACAACAGAAACATTGGAGGCATGGATCTTAACTCTTCAAAGATTCCTCCTGAAAGCAAGGCAATTGTGCTCACTTAATGATTTGTTAAAACTCTGTAACAGCCAAGACTGGTAACTGTGCTACTGTTTTTACCATTTGTTGAGAGTTGAATCTTAAACACCCCATCTTACTTAAGTCAAGCTTAACTACTCCCTGATCTTATGTTTATGATGATTAAATGAGCTGTCAACTGCTGTTACTAGGGTTTTGGAGCATACATGCTTAAATGGTTATTTTACCCTTGTGGGAGTTTTATTAAAGAGAAAATGGCCTCTTTTGTAGCCACGTTGTGAGGAGAGTGCCTCCTTTATAACTGAACATGATGTTTTTATGGCTGTTTGTACATATTTCAAGTTGCTGTAACTTTTTTATGACTTGAATTAATAAAACTTTGAAACAGGCTTCTAGTTCTATGTTGAAATGACAACAATCTGGTAAATTATCATGCTTACAAATTCTACAGTGTAGTATTTCCTTAAAGCAAGCAACCAACCTCAGCATAGTTGAAAATCTTCTAGAGCTCCCATTACCAAAGTCTGTTATTAGCCATCTATTATCTCAAAAGCATGATTTTTTTTTTTTCTTAAAGCTGTGAAAACTATTCTTTATCCAATTTCTCACTCTTACTGTGCAACAGGAGTCATGATAAAATATGGATTGTTTGTATAAAAAAATAAACACACCAAACGTAGCAATTTCAGGAATGTATAGACTGCTCTTTCAAATGCTACGTATTTATAGTAAAACAGGCCTCTAATCTAGAAGATCTGTGGTGTAGGGTTGGGGGTGGGTAGCCTTTGCATCTGATGGTGGAGCTGGGAAAGAGCTATTACCCCATTACTGTGGTTTGCATAGCGATCCATTGCGAAGATGATGTTGCCCAGCAATGTTGTTATTGCTGTTTGCTGTCACGGAAGGTGACCAAACTTAGGCCAGGTTATCTACCTCCCAGAGCTTTGGATTAAAGCTTGCTTTGGCAGTCAGTAGTCTAATGTATATGGGCTAGTAAGTTAATATATATAGTCATATATAAGTAAGCATATCTGATTTATAAAGGAAATGCTGTAACTCCTGTTGCCAAATGGCTAGTAAGTTAATATGTATAGTCATATATGTCAGCATATCTGATTTATAAAGGAAATGCTGTAACTCCTGTTGCCAAAGAAATAATGAGATACAAGATAAGGAACTGAATGACAAATCATATTACTAATGTGGGTTTTTTTGTTTTGAGCCCCTTCCCTAAAACAGGAAAAGTAGGATAAATACCCTGTTCATAAAATGTGAAACACACTCCATTGTGTGCATCTACTAAATACAACAGGGAAGTTGCTGAACAGCGTAGAATATATGTCTGATCTTACGGGTCACCAGTATGACCTGCCTTTGGACAAGGTGGCAGCTGACATGCATGTGTTCCTGTGCCCACAGTGTGTTTTGGGAAGTGGAATTGTGCATGTTGGTTTGCTCTTGCCAAGTCACTGCTCCTGCTAAGCACAAAAATTCCAAAGCAGGGAACTTCCTGGAGCGCTTTGCAGCCTTCTCAGGCAGCTTTTTCAGTCACAGCTTCTGTAGGGCAGTCTCTGGTTCTGCCAATAGATGCCACTCCCTTTCTGCCCAGGTATGCAGGTGATCTGCTGGGGTATGATGAATTTCTTACAATCCTGTAAGCTGTTAAACAAACGAGGCCTAGTTTACAGTAAGCTTGTCTTTTGCCAGGTCATGTGTATGACTGTCTTCCCCAGTTCTTTGCTCTCCATATCTTATACCTTCTTAAACGTCTACAATCCTTCCCATTCCTTTCTTTTCCCCAAGATCATAATGCTCTTGTTTCCTTTCCTTTTCCTACTGTCCCCATCCCCATTTCGTACCTTATTTTTGGCCTGTGGGATGGAAAGAGATGTCATGTGCTGGGGCTGGGCTGGGAGCTACACATGTGCTGACTTGACTGGCTGGTATGTACCTGCTGGGTGGCCTGGACCTTGTCCCAATGGCTGTGTTTGAACATTGTTTTCTCCCTACTTTTCCCACAGTAGAGGAAGGCATTTTGATTCTTTCCAGTTTTTTTTTTAACCTAACGGAGCTTTTCATGTCTTGGTCCTTGTCAAATTTGACTGAAGCTAGCCAAGAGGTTAGAAAACCACAAAGTTTACAGAAACTAATCAAAAAATAGAAGAGATTGTACTACATCTAATTCTAAACTCTGTTACTACAGTACAAACACAATGCTGCTCAGGTCCCAAAATGATAGTAATAGTATTTTCCCTAGTTTTCTAAATAGTTTTATTGACCTTTATATTGGCTTTTTTTTTTGTTCTGTTTTGTTTACTTGTGCAACAATCCAGCTGCATAAAAGCATGTATTTATAGGGAAATGGAAAAGCATGAGAAAGAAAAGAGTTGAGAAACCAGTGTATTGGCATCCTGCAGCTAAATTGTGTTTTTACAGTTTTTTTTATAGCTAGAGGAGACTAATGTGCTGAAATAAAAAAAAATGCATGTGAAGTTTCTTTTTATATGTAGAGCAGTTTTGAACTGCTGGCAAAAATTGCAACTGAAAAATAATAGCAAATACTAAGTGCTCTCTATTGTAATATTTTGAAAGTATTCAGCAAAGTTATAAAGTTTCCTGTAAAAGAAGCAAACCAATATAACTTAATAAGAGTATTAGTCACTGCATCAATTTTTGACAAGGTAAATATTTTGATGTTTTCGTTTGCCTAATTCATTACCTTCCTTCAGTGAAGCAGTATGATTTTTAAATCTAAAGTTCCACACAAAATTGTGATACTGTATTCCCTCTCTTTTTTATGTAATGTCAATTTTGATAAAGGATATGAACGGCCAACTGAAGATTTATTAAATTGAGACTGAATAAATGAGATTTTTTTGTTACATGATTTTTAAATCCAAAGTTCCACATAAAATTGTGATACTGTGTTCCCTCTCTTTTTTATGTAATGTCAATTGTGATAAAGGATATGAACGGCCAACTGAGGATTTATTAAATAATTTGAGACTGAATAAATGAGATTTTTTTGTTACAGAGAGAGGATGGACACAAACTGTACAAGAAACTATAGTAATCATATTTGCCTATGTACAACATGGGAAAATTGTGTTTGTATAGGCAAGTGCAAATCTATTACTTCCTTATGAATGATTACACTAGCACATATATATTAGTTATTATTACTGCTGAGCAAAGGGATGGACACAAACTGTACCAGAAACTATATTTGCCTATGTACAACATGGGAAAATAGTGTTTGTATAGGCAAGTGCAAATCTATTACTTCCTTATGAATGATTACACTAGCACATATATATTAGTTATTATTACTGCTGAGCAAAATTAAATAAATATTTATGCAAAGACAATGAGAGACTTTTTAAGAAGAGGGTATGCAAATAACATGTGTGAGAAAGCATGACCAATAAAGCCTAAAAAACTTGCTTCCATAGACCTAAGTAATCCCTAAGCACAGTTTCCACAACTACAAAATGAAAGGTCAGCGTGGCGTATGTAGGGTCTGTTGACAGTAGCTCACTCATTACCCTCCTGAACAACCATAACTTTGGTAAGAGAAATAACATTGTTTTTGATTCGTGTTTATTTATATCCTCACCTGCTGGACTTTGGTTGCCATAACATACAGTGACATAAGATTACAGACTGCTTGAAATAGCCTGAAAAATATTCTAGGAAACTAAAAATGCTTGCAGCTCTGCTGCTCTAACTTTACCTCTGCCAGTTGCTGAATTCCAGCAGCTCCCAGGAGAGGCTTTGGCCCCCACGTGTTGGGGATAGTTGGGCCCATCAACACAGAGTTTTATGAACTTCACTAAAATCTTTGTTGTCCTTGTCTAAACAGTGATGTGCAATGGCAGCCGTACGCAAGGGAGAGTGTGGCAGAGAAAAAGGAGGTGGTGTGTAATGTTAGAGGCAACACTTACCAGGTCGTAGCATGTGAAAACTTCATACATGTGAGAAGCAGGTTTTTTCTTTACTACCCTCTAGGTGCACTGCAGAATCCTTGTGCGTTCAGGTACCGGCAAAGTAGAAGCACGGCTGTGCCAAATTGATCTGAGTGAAAAAAGCGCATACACAAAAATGAAAAGGTCCTTTACAAGGCAATAGTCACACTTTCTGTTTAAACTTACATTAACTAAACTTGTATTAACTAAATATTCTTATCTTGTTAATATTATCCTAAGTATTAATTAACTAAACTTACATAAACTAAATTTGTATTAACTAAATATTCTTATCTTGTTAATATTATCCTAAGTCTCTGCTGCATTATACATAAAAACACACCAGCCTAACATAAAATTTTCTGGCAACGTCCCCACCAACTCAAAAGCATTAGAGCTGTCACTGATCACACCTCAATATTAATTAACCTTTGGTGGAAAATGATTTATTTTTTATTTTTCTTCTTGTGCAAGAGAGAACACAACGTAAATGTCTTTCATGGCTGTGGTCACGGCACTAAGAGCGTTAGCAGCTGGTGTAGGTGGTGGCTTTCTGCAATTGGGAGCCTGCAGCACAGCAGGGCTGCCTTGAGCAAACTGCTGGATGAGAAGGTGGAACCAGCCAGAGGAGAGAGAAGCAAGGACTGCAACACACAGCAATTACAGCATTACCACCTCTTGTGAAGGTGGTAATGAGGTCCCCGGAGCCCACCTCCTCTCCAACTGTTTGTACAGGACACATTTTCCTTCTTGTCCTACTTCTGCCTTACCCGTAGTCATCAGTGGATAAAAATACAAGCACTCTCAGCTATTAATAAAGTATAGTTTGGGCTGACCTGGTATTATCACCTCTTGGCAAGGCTGCCTGACCTTATGAGTTATGTATTTGCTAAATGACAATTATTTAGGCTGAATTTTCCCACATGAGTACTGCCGCAAGCAAACAGTTTTGGTGGAGGGAAGCATTAGACCAGAGAGTTTAGCCACTTCTGAAAATAAGGTTAGGAAAAGTACACTTTTTCATACTGAAAATAAATCCAACTGCCCTGCCAGAGCAATGCCATTTTTGCAACTGTTAGCAGATGAGAGGAAGATTTTGGGCAACTTGAAAGCTGCCAAAGCTCTAGTGACCTTATGCTTTGTTTCTTCCTTCCTAAGTCAGATGAAGGCAGATCTTTCTTTTCTCCAGAAGAACCACCCATGGTCCTTCATTGAGTGCATTTGCAAAAGGGCTTTGAAGGCCTTTTCTGGAAAAGCTGTTTTACCTCAGGGGTACAGGACTGGGGTTTGGGTGAGGAAGGCTGCAGCAGGGACAGGCAGCCCACGGTGACACTGGGCAGGACCAGGGCAGAGGTGAGGGCACCAAAGGGTTCCCTGTGGAGGGACAGCCAGGACGTGACAACACCATCAGACTGCAGTATCAGT